AGACGAGGTTCAGCAAGCACTCGAATGAGATAAAATGTTTGGGAAGAGAGTCAAAATTGTACTATCGAGTTCGTTTTTTTAACTTACGTAGATCCAAACGTCAATCACAGTTCATAGTAGGTACCTATATAGTTGGAATCGTCGATTTGAAAAAATCAGGTTTTTTTCTTCTTTTATGTTTATTATTATCATCATTCTTACTGGCTGCTTTTATTTTCTATCATCGAACCAAATTCCGGGAAAACCCGACTGCCAATTTAATGTAAAAATTTTTTCAATTAGCAATTTAAAATTTAAATCGTTGTCCTATTGTCCGTATTTTCGTCACGCTTTCCACCTGCAGTATACAAGCCACAAATCATTTTTTTTTTATCGAATGTCACTGAAAATTCATAACCCCCTCATAAATATATATGATAAAAATATTACATACTATTATGCTTCAATAACCGAGACTTCTACTTGCATACAAAACCTTACATTAATTTCTTCGTTATTCTCACTCGTTGCAATTTTACAAGTTGACACGATACATTTTAAGGTAACATTCAGTAGAAACCTGTATTATATGAGATATGGCTCCAAGGCTCGATGAATCCAAAAATGAGATACGTTTTCCTCCATCACTGTTCAGGTTATAATTTCCATTTTTCTCCAAATATTAAAATTAATTTAATAAAAAATTACGGATATTTAAAGCCGACACCAGGTACATATTATAATTTTGTTATATTGTGTATCAATTATTACCAGTTATTACAATGGTTATTATGATGCTTGTGTGAGACAGACATTATTTAATAAATATACACAAATGTGCGATATCTGGGCTGTTGAGCTATATTTTTTATTAGCGTATAGTCCCTATCGAATTAGATGGGTTAAATATTTCTTGTGTTTCTATTAAATTTAAATTTTTAACATGTATGAAAAACCGAATTTTCTTGAAAACTCCCGTCAAAAACCTTCAATCATTTTCGAAAGTTACAAATATTTTCTGTCGTATAAACCGAAATAATAATCTGGATTATGGCGTATTGACGATGTTGATTAACTACTTACCAAGCAGTAAACACACGAATAAAACTGAACAAATAGTAAGCAATCAATTATACAAACATTTGCATAATCAGTTTCTATCGTTTTTCGAAGTAATCATTTTATATTAGTGTCAAATATAATAATATGACAAAAATGTATTCTTAATTCCATGTTGGCAGAAAATGGATACGACCATGGACTGGAATCCATGTTTATGCATAAAGAATGTATTGTATTGTATGCCACGCTGTGCCATTAATTAGATTATAGACAATAGTGACAAGTATAACTAAGAATAGGCTAGGAGTTATCAAACATTATATCAACTTTATTTTTGGTGTGGATCATGAAGTCATGAACTAATACTTACCTACTTATGAAGGAAAAATTTAAAATTCTACAACCAATAAAGATTTTGTTTACTATTACAACCTGTGATACCTAAAATAATAGAAAAATCCACCTGTGAATTAGTTTATTTACATTTTGTATGATTTATCTTTTTAAATTCCATTAATCCTCTTTGAGAAATATTAGACACGATAATATTTTGTGTATACGGTATTATAAAATGTGGAATATTAAGTTTGAGATATGGTTATAAAATCATGGGTGGACTTGCTGGGGGGGGGAGGTCATGCCTTTGGGCGAATTACCTTTTTACCAACATAATAAAAGTAATGTATTTGAGAGAGTTTCTTCTAAGGTGTTTGAGCGAGTATGACACAATATAAAAGATAAAATTGAAAGTTTGTAAAGATTAAGGTAAAAATAATATATAAAATCTATAGGGAATTTTATATCAATCTGAATATGGCATGGCACATCATTTCAATTTTTATTACACACACAATTTGATTTTGTGTGTCTGTAATCACCTTTTAGGACAGTAAAAAAGCTTAGATTTTCTTCAACAGCATCTTTTCTGATAGGAAAATTAATATTTTTGGTACTTTGGGAAGTCAAAAGTTAAGAGTTTCCAGGAATTTTCAAAAGCGCAGTGAAAAACAAAAGAAAAATTAAGGAATAACGGTATTTTTTACGCTAAATCGATTTTGTTTTTTTTATAACTCTAAAATAAATTACCATAGGTGCATAAAACTTTGATCGAATGTTAATATTATCATTTTATATACACCATAATACTTTAAAAATATTTTTAATTATTTTGAGCTGTTTACGGACATTTTCAGTTTTCAATTTTTTTAGTTTTTATTCTATAAATATCAATAATAATTTATTTGTAGGGTAAAAAAAACTGAAAATTCAATACAAAGGTCTTGTTATATTGTTACAATGACATTTGGAAAGTATTAAAAATCCATAGTCACAATTTTTTTTATAATCATTTAAAATACAAATATTGACAAAATATGTAAAATTCACAAAAATGTGCAAATTATACTTAGTTAGAAATTCATAAAAAAATTTCTTTTTAAATCTAAGATTTGAAAATGTAATACAAGAGTCCTTATAAGTATTCCTACCTTTATCAAAAAAAAAAAAAAATGGCTACAAGCAAATCACATACCGACAGATAATCTGACAGACCAGTTTTTCTAAGAATCGTTTTTCGTACCTATACAATGTTTTTATATCATAGATTCTTAATTTAACACATCCATTACAGTGACTCTCTTGACACATAATGAACAGGAGATCGTTACCAACTTATTAGTAATCTAATATTGTATACAATTTTTATTGAAAGTTTGTTGTAACTTGGTACCTATTTAAGTTTTTAACGTATATTCAATATTAAAACAAAATAAAATATATTATTAATATTTCATAAATAATCTACATATTTTAAATTTGCCCAAAATTTTTTTTTTATTTGCCATTTAAATTGTATAGCATGCCGTACACTTTTTTACCAGTCCACACCTGAGTAACTATTTCTAGTCATATCTCAAGTTCAACTTTTCTACCTTCACCTTGGGCTATTAATTTTATTGATTCAGAAAAGACTACCAACGCATGTGATTCATGAACGTCATTTTCGAGGAACATTAGTTGTGCACACCTGAATATTTTTACATACGTAAATTTAACCAAAGAAGTTCAAACAAATTGGTACTATATTTTAAATACTACATTTCTATTAACAGTTGTGGTTGATTTTCTAAAGTATCTAATAAATTAATTAAAATTAATTGTGTAACAAGGTATCGTTTAAGACTATATACGTTCAACATTCACCAGCGTTTGGCCACACCGTCCACGGTCCAGATCGTAGGGTTATACCGCACCAGTTGATTTGCGTCGCCGAAGTCACCACGTCGCGGACATGTAATGTTGACTCTTTTTAATTTACTCTTAATATACAACTAAATTGTTAGAATTTAAGTTCGTAGGTTAAGTGCTCCCCCCCGTCCACAAGTATGTATTACTACAGTAAAAATAATATAAGCATGTACATAGCCTACGGTTGATATTGTCAATTACTTACTCTCGTCCTAATAATTCCATTACCCACCGCGCTGCACTACCACCTCAATCCATAGCGAGGTTAGTGTACGTAACAACTATTTATTCAATTTTTTTTTTAAATTTAAATTTAATAAGATCACAATTTATATTCTTTCTGCAGTCTAAATATAATCTAATTTATAATCCTAATTATAATAATTCGAACTATTTCAGATTAGAAAATAAATACAATATTAAGATTTATTATCGAATATACTTATATACTTACCCAAAGTTTAAATCTAACCCTGATGCTACCATAATACTAGGTAGGTTACTAGTATTACCACCTACCAACTTAACAATACAAATTAACGATTATTATGAGTCATCATTCATAAATATTGTATTTTGACTATACAAAATATTTTGAAAATTTGGTACAACTTTCAGTGACGCACTGTAAATAAATAGTTATTTTTAATTAATAAATGCAGATGTTTGAAACAAAACTAAAACGACTTATCTACTTTAGTACTATATCTAGAAATACCATTAGTTTTATTTATCACTCATAAGTGAACTATGTTGGAAACAGTTTAAACATTTAGTGTTCTAATCATGACTAAACACCTGTCGTTCAATTACTTAAACTCGACACTCTATAGCTAACCGCCGGCAAGCAGCAAATCTCGTTTTTTTGACTAAATTGTAACAAATGAAAATCGATTCGCCATACCTGTACTCCCAAATCTCTTTCAATGTCCCTGTACGAATCTCGCTCTACCCTGTTCCTTTCTCACTCACTACTATTTCAATTAATTTTATTATGGTAAGAATGAGCCTATACGTCGCTGCATGTATTTAGCAAATCAAGACCCTTCTTTCTTGCTTTAATAATAATTAAATTATTTTTTCCAACAATGTATATTAAACGTATAATCTGTAAATTGGGCGAAAGCCTATGTCGTATTATAAAATAGAATAAAGCTAGTCATAAAACAGTCTAAGTGGATTGTTCACAATTATTTAATCTGCACGAAAAACCATTTATAAAGTTAAAAATAGTTCCACATGGGTGAAATTTAAGTATTCATTATCATAAGTAAAGGCTCGTAACAAGTTAAACAATTCGAATAGTTCAGTCCATAACTGCAATCGTCTAAAAAGAGGAGTGAGGACCCGTGCTATTAGTTTTAACGACATTCAAAAACTACAATAACGCATTATTATTAAATCAAAATAACAATTAGCTAGCTGTAAAGTACAGTAAAATATTCGTAATCAAAAATAAATACGGCATTTTCTATATCTGGCCAAATGAAAATGTTTATTCTTATTAAATATACATGGTTGCAATTATACACGTCAGAGACATTCGTTAGTGTATTTCGATGTTTAGCCGATTAAGGGTCGCTAAAGAAAACAGTTGTCTAAAAAAAATCAAATACATTTAAACAGTTTTAATAATAATTACCGGCTAAATTATTTTTTATTATTTCCAACTCGAGTCAGTCATTTCCTATTCTTGCCGACTAAACCCAAAAATGAATTCCTTCGCCGTAGTCAAAGTGGTCGCCACGATGATCTTGTTCGGACTTTTCACTCCGAGTGAGTACCATAACACTTGGTAACTATTTAATCGTATATCTACTTCAATGCACGGTTTGGTATAAAAGTTCATAGACGTGCTTATTGACATTACACCCAAATAATAATATATTGTACCTGCGTTGATAGTTACTAGTGTGCGTTGTAGTATTGTTTTTTTAAGCTCGTTTTTCCATCGATACGGTGGATTCATTATTATATAATATTATTATGTGATGTGTGTGCACTCTATAGCTGCGGTCGCAGTAGTTACCAAGTGTTACGAATGCAAGGAAGATCAAATATCTACATGTGGACAGTCCCAGGCAACCGAACTCACGGCAACTACACCAGTTACTTGTCTGGAACCGGCCGCTACAACGAAATGTTACGAGATTGTAGTAAAAGGTAAGTAATATTATATTGAAAAATAAAATTACGCTGCTGCCACGATTAATACTCCTCTTCTGTGGCCATCCGCTCTAATCGACAGAAACTGGCAAGGATGATGCTGTCGGCGTATTGCGCGGCTGCACGAACGATGCTGCATGTGGTGTACTAACTAAACACGAATTGTTCAAGGACACCGAATGCGTTCCTTGCGACGCCGACGACTGTAACAATTCTAAATTCTTCCAATTATCCGACAAAGCTCCAGGCAGCGGGACGGGCAACGGGACAGGCAACGGCACCACGACAGACAACGGTCAACCGTCGTTCGTAGGTTCTGCCGTTCTGTGCGCCCTTTTATCGTCCCTGGCCGTGGCCAAGATGTATTTCGGCGCAATGTGATTGGGGGGGGGGGGGTTGGGGTTGTGGTTGGGGGGCTCAATTCGTGGAGAGAAAACGAAAAGGTCCTTTTAACGCCAAAAAAATAAAATAATTAAATATTTACAGTAAAATTTGTTTGTGTCTAAAAATCGCCTTTTACGGTAGGTGGCTTGACCGGTCACATAATGGACCCGAAACTACGCCACAGTATATTGTTCGGACATACGTAAACGAATATTTTTGTACTCAGTATTTTTTTTTATCGTTTATTATATTGTATTATTGTTAATTTGTTTTTTAATAGTTTCTTATGATATTACATAATATAATATCATACATTGAATATTGTGCATAATACGGATAACTATATACGTACTAGTAATTATACGTTACAACCGTCGTAAATTCGTAATAGATATTCATCTACCTTTGAAACAATATACTAAGAGTCTTCTTTTAAATTGTCAAGCTTTTTTATCCAATAAATATTTTATTGATATTTTTAGAAAAAAAACTAAAAAAAAAATGGAAAGTGAAAATTTTAATAAACAGTTCAAAATAAATCATAATATTTTGAAAAATTTATCGTGCATAGAAAATGAAAATATAATCAACCAGTGATAATCTCATGTATATACATTAAATTGTTTTAGAGTTACACCAAAAACCAAAATCGATTTTGTGGAAAACCGTGGAAAAATTCCCATTTTTCCTTAATTTTTATGTTGTTTTTCTCGTCGCTTTTGAAAACTATTGGGAATTTTAAAATTTCACCTTCTAAATGCACCAAATAGATTCACTTTCCCATCTAACAAGATACTGTTGAAGAAAATCGAATCAGTTTTACTGCTCTAGACCGTGATGACAGACACAAAAATAAAAAAAGTAAAAAAATAAAAAAACAACACACACCATTGTAAAATCAATACATTCATCCTTTCATTCAGAATCTAAAAAAAATTGGAAACTGAAAATGTCTGCAAATAGCTCAAAATAAGTAAAAATATTTTGAAAGTGTTATGGTGCATATAATATGCTTATAAACATTCAATCAACATTTCATGTATCTACGGTCATTTGTTTTAGAGTTACCAAAAACCAAAATCGAATTTGCTTAAAAATTACTATTTCTTCTTGATTTTTCTTTTGTTTTTCAATGAGCATTTGGAAATTACTGGAAAATTTTTACTTTTGATCTCCCAAAGTCCCAACTAGATTCACTTTCCTATCAGAAAATATACAGTTAAAGAAAATTTAAGCACTTTTACTGCCCTAAAAGGTGATTACAGACACAAAAAAAAAAACACAGATCATTGTAAAATCAATACATTCATCCCTCCACTTAGAATCTAAAACCGTGTGTACATACTTTTAGATTTTTCGTTTACAATAAGAACTGCTTACGTGGCACCTTGTTTTACATTTTCAATTCATAGCTATAAAAATTAAAATTGTTGTACATTTTTAACTACAAACCATTTGCACATTTTAAATATGATATACGTATTGTGAAATTTAAATGCTTAAAAAATCGTTTCTTTACATTTTTAATATTTAAAAAATGTATTTAACTTCTTTAAGGCTGTGTTAGAACCCTTGACCCAACGTATAGAATGTTATTGAAATTTATGGAAAAAAAAAACCAAAAACAATACATTTTAACTATATATTATATAACGACTCTACATAGCTCAAAACGTGTCAAAATATTTTGAAAATTTGATCAAGTATAGAAAATTATAAATTGAACATTTGGTGTAAATTTCAAGTATCAACAAAATTTGAATTATAACAAAATAAGAAATCTGTTTTATGAGAAAACGAGTAAATATCGAATGATGTAAAAATTTGATCTTCAAACGCTCATAAAAATGTAATTTCACTGTTAAAATAATATGTAAACTAAATACAAGTGTGTGTAATTAAAAATTGAAATGATATGCCATATTTAGATTAATTTAAAATTATCCATAGATTTTATATATTATTTTTAAAAAATACTATAAACTTAATCCAACATTTTTAAACTAAACAACTTTAAAATTGGTGTAAAGTACTTTTATTATGTTTGTAAAAAGATAATTCACCCAAACGCATGATGCCCCCCCAGCCAGTCCACGCCTATAATACGCAGAATCAGTACCCACATACTTATAAAATTTCAAGACCGCTATTTCTAAGTAAAATAATCGAATAATAAATAAATTAAGTATTTAGTCTATAATTAAAATTAGATATTACCAAACCTAGGATCATTAAAACTATTCTTCCTACAGGATATGAAATTAAAGAGAATGTATTACTAATTTTATTAAAGTGCATATTAGAGATACTAACAGTAGATATAAAAACTATTGTTGTAAAACTAAATAATTCAGGTATGATCATATTATAATCTTTCACACAAATGTACAATTAGCATGAACACTTTCCATAAATCCATTTCTGTGTTTAACATGAGTTTTCTACTTTTTGCATATTATCTAGTAAAATTTAATTAACTATATTATACATGTAAATATTATATACTATATAATATACTGCACTAGGTATTGAAAATTGCTAATAAGCTATTCAACAAATCACATCGATAAATTACATAATGTTTACATTCATTTACTCAAAGTCGTATTTGTTTTTTTGCAGGAAGATTGAGTTTAAGTTCATGTTTTTAAAAATATTATTCGTTATTGTTTTAGTATAGGTACTAATATTTCAAAAATATTTTCCGTATAATGTACGTTAAACAAACATTTTGTGTTTCATGCGTTTTGCTGTTTTAATCACGCACAAAAATGGTACCTACCTACTAATATTATTATTGAGCCACTGCTTTCATAATACGTTAAGAAGCACAACCTCGAGCAAGCCTCGAGAATTCGCACTATTTAAATGAGTGACTGAAATATGTAGATGTTTCCGACAGAGTACCGCACACGCTTATATATAGGTTATATTATGTAAAGTCATATTATAATATGGTGGGCAGGTAGGTATCCTGCTTTGTCATCAATGAATGGCTGAAACGCCGAGGTTTGATTAGTTTGACCGATATTCTGCAGTTCCTATTCAAAGACAACTTGGTATGTGCGTATTTACCAGACCAATATGGAATAACGTATACCGTATACAAACGGATCAAATGTGATCACCGAAATACGATGCCTCGAGGGAAACATATCCATAGGTATATCGGAACAGGACACCGCCGTGAGTATACATATAATATATAAATATAAATATATATACTTTATATATGTAACTAACGATATATAGGTGTGTGTGCCTTCGTTGTTTCAACAATACAAATGGCATATCAAATTTCATACGACCAATACCACGGTTCGTGACTACCTGTTGGAGTACCATTTGTCACGTCGTTTGGTTGTTTAAATCGTTCGATTTACGACAATCGATATATTATTTTCAGCACGACAACATGATTATATATGCCTCAAACCATATAAACGTAATTCGTTTCAAAAAAAAAAAAAAATACAAAATATAAAATAAACTGTCATGTACATACAGACAACATGTATAGAAAAATGCGGATGATTATTAAATATAGACAGGTACATTATATTAATTTATTGTAAATCTGTACTCAGTAACGGCCACTTGTGGCCGGGGATTACAATATCATTAATTGTTAAGTATTTATATTTGGCCAAGCCAAAACGAATAATAATTTAAAAAGCTTACATTTTATATTTACTGTCAATAGTATATACTATATACATTATACATATCCAACTCAAAGCAGATGATGTGAACTGTTTATTTGAATAAACTAGTAAACTATAAGCTTAATAAATAAACTGTTGAGTACATCGACCATATTTGAAATTAATAAAAAAAGTATTGAGGTTTTACAAAAATGTATGAAATAAATTACAAATGTGTTGAATTTCCTATTTTAGTTTATTGCATTATTAATTATTATTTTTAACAGTGACATATTTGTAGGTACAAATTTGTTTTATAATGCACACATAATTGAACAACATGTTTTTTGATTGTGACAGTAGTAATTTAATTTAATTTTCAATTGAATAATAATAGCCCTAATACACCACTATATTTGGCAAGAGCAATGCATTCGAGACTAGTATAGATACCCAACATCGCTTCAGTTAAACAGAAAACTACCATCCTAATAAGTACCTATTACAAAATATACATATAATAATATAGTGTGATTACATGCATTAATAAACACCATAAAGGTATCAAACTGAGTTCGTAAGTACAAATCATTTTTGAGATATATATTAATTAGACTTTTCCTATATCTGTCTATCTTTTTATCTTTATAATAATATGTATTAACATTTAAACGCAAAGTGTGTGTGTAAATTATAATGTTATTTTAATTCAATTTTTTTTAGCAAACATTTCAGCGATTGGTTGTAGGGCTGTAGTCGATTGGCACTCGCAAGATTTCATGATTTGATCCAAAATATATTATACAAAATTTGTAATTTGCACCAATTATTTTTTAAATACCTATGTTGGCAATTTGCACCAAAATAAAGATGATATGTGGGAAATTCTTACCATATCGGGTAGTAAAAAATATTAATTTATTGTAATTTGCACCAAAATTCAGATCGATTATTCTTTTGATAGTATAAACAAGTTATTTGAAAGAAGCAAAATATAAAATCATGAAAATAATATATTATAAAGATGTGAGAAGCTAATAACACAGAATATTTTAGATTCTGAGTGGTTATATTCCACTAACCTATTCATACCATTCTATGTCAGCTAGTATATATTGTTATCAAATCCACCAAACAATGTTATATGAAAAAACAATAAATGCTTTATTTTTGTAAAAATTTATAAATTTAATACCTACTATGCATAATAACACACCATTAGATACAACGGATAGGATATCAAACTTTGTAATGATTACCGGATAAGGCAGTGGGTAGTTAGAAATGTTGTACGAGTATAACAGTTTTCCACCATCGGTAATGACCAATTCAAAAATTTAGAGAAACGCAGGT